TGTTAAATAGTGTAGTGGCTCTCAGGTGAGCGTGTGATATGTGACGGCTGTGTGATCAGTGAATTCAGCTGTGTAAGTGCAATGGATGATGTGGAACTGTAGTCCGGAGTGACATGTAACAGTCTGTGTAGTGTGAGAGTCAGTGTAATGGTAGAATGACCTCCAGTGGCAATCAGCCAGAAGGACACGGACCGGATTCGTGACAGAGCCTAACTCGGGGACATGAGCCCTTCCTGGGCGGAACTGAGTATCTGGAGCCCTTCCAGGGCGGTACTGGGGATCAGGATAGTGCTTACGTGGTGCTGGCACTGGAGTGAGTCTTGGGGCTGGAGCCGACACTGGAGCGAGCTCCGGGGCTGGAGCCGACACTGGAGACGGGGAAACAGGAGCCCTCCCTGGGCTTAACTGGGAAAACAGGAGCCCTCACTGGGCTATACTCGGGAACAGGAGCCCTCACTGGGCTATACTCGGGAACAGGAGCTGTCTCATGACGATCAACTGTGACTAGACCTGTCTCATGACGATCAACTGTGACTAGACCTGTCTCATGACGATCAACTGTGACTAGACCTGTCTCATGACGATCAACTGTGACTAGACCTGTCTCATGACGATCAACTGTGACTAGACCTGTCTCATGACGATCAACTGTGACTAGACCTGTCTCATGACGATCAACTGTGACTAGACCTGTCTCATGACGATCAACTGTGACTAGACCTGTCTCATGACGATCAACTGTGACTAGACCTGTCTCATGACGATCAACTGTGACTAGACCTGTCTCATGACGATCAACTGTGACTAGACCTGTCTCATGACGATCAACTGTGACTAGACCTGTCTCATGACGATCAACTGTGACTAGACCTGTCTCATGACGATCAACTGTGACTAGACCTGTCTCATGACGATCAACTGTGACTAGACCTGTCTCATGACGATCAACTGTGACTAGACCTGTCTCATGACGATCAACTGTGACTAGACCTGTCTCATGACGATCAACTGTGACTAGACCTGTCTCATGACGATCAACTGTGACTAGACCTGTCTCATGACGATCAACTGTGACTAGACCTGTCTCATGACGATCAACTGTGACTAGACCTGTCTCATGACGATCAACTGTGACTAGACCTGTCTCATGACGATCAACTGTGACTAGACCTGTCTCATGACGATCAACTGTGACTAGACCTGTCTCATGACGATCAACTGTGACTTGACTTGACTCAGGAAGATCAGTTGTGACTTGACTTAACTCAGTTAAGACAGTGGTAGCATGACACGGCTTTGTTGTTGACGCCATTTTGTGAGCAAGCTCTGGTTCAGCCGCCATTACAGGCACAGACACGGTGTTGTGTTCCTCCTCAGCGAAACCCTCAGTGAACATGGAGCCAGCAGTCAGCAAAGCATAATCTATAAAGTCCTTTAAACTACAATTAAATTTACCCTCTGGCAACCATGATTTTATGGATTCATTTAGTCCGTAAATGTCAATGTCTTTTAATGCGACCTCATCAAAAGGTACCCTAAAAGATAACTCACAGAACTGAGTGACGTATTCCTCAATAGGTGAACTCCCCTGTCGTAAATCGAGTAGCAGGTCGACTGGGTCCATACTTGGCCAAGGTCCTTTAGGAAAGCCGCTGGATCCTCGTGTGGCCGTGTATTCTGTTACGGAGTGAACACAGGAAGCGTGAAACAGGTATATTGATGGCAAGGCAAGAAAGGCAAGAGAGGTACAAGGCAAAGATCCAGGCAGGGGCGAACAGTATCCAATTGGGCGAGACTCGAGGGACTCGAGGGATACACAGGCAGTGATCAGAACACGGGGAAACAGACAAGGCAAGACAAGGAAAACAAGACACTAGGCTCGGTAATGCAGCTATCGCTAGATGAGTGATACGCAGAACAATACACGGCGATCTGAACAGGAACTGAGAGAGTGTTAAATAGAGTGTGTAATGGCTCTCAGGTGAGCGTGTGATATGTGACGGCTGTGTGATCAGTGAATTCAGCTGTGTAAGTGCAATGGATGATGGGAACTGTAGTCCGGAGTGACATGTAACAGTCTGCG